CCTATTCAAGTATTCTAACCTGGTTTATGCCTAACAAATGTTCTTTCCTTCAAAACATGTTTTTCATGATATCGTTGCATAATGGTATGCATTAGCATGAAAATGTTTGTGCAAATAACCATCATTTATTGAAGGATTTGTTCTGATATCATGTAGGTGACGATCTCTCGCTTCTCATCCATATCTATAAACGAAAAACACATAATTTTATAAGGTATAAAGCTATCAAAAGAGTAAATATGTGAAGTAAAACCAAACAAGATAAACTAAGATGAGAAGCGAAAGAGAAAAAAAAAAGCAGTACATGCTCAACAAAACAACTTGGCTATTCTTGAAAGAAAGCAATGAGGGATTTTTTTTAAATGAGCATAAAGTCATAAATTAAAGAAAGGCTTAGCTTTGTACATATGCAAGCCAATAAGGGGTATGACTTGAATATATAGTTCATTTTAACACAAGCTACTAGACAAAAGAGATAAAAGGTTTTAAAAATGAGATTTTCAAGATAGTGTCACTAGTAAAGCAAGATAAGACATATCAAAATCGAAAAGGCTGAAACTAAAAAACAAAGAATTGGAACTACAGTTCATCATCAGCTCAAAACTAGTAAATGATACAATACATCATAATCTATATATGAATTCCTTCAACCATACAGCTATTTCGCTTATATAGTTCATAATTCTGTTGTTAGATTGTTTTAGAACTTGACAAGGACATACAGCTAATAGCTTTTGAATAGCCTAATGATCAAGTTTCATTTCAGATGCTAAGAAAAACTAATAAAAACATCAAAGAAAACAAAGAAAAGGCAATCAACCTTTATCAATATTCTTAAAAATAACATCCCAATCAAACCATAACTACATTAACGAAAAAAACCTAAAACTACATCTATTTACTTAAAGAAACATATAATCTAAGAGCCATATTCAACAAAATTAAACAAAACCTATTGATTTTAAAGTAAAAAAGGATCTTTACTCAATAATCAACTCAATAAGGCATAATGTGGTCAAGATGCATTTAGTAATGAGTGACTCTCCCAAATATCACAACCCCACCCTATATATGCTACACAAGTTGTTCAAATTATGTGCCTCAAAATAATGTAGCAATTGTGGTCAACATGTTTGTTGATAATGCACCATCAACAGTAAGATAAAAATGGTTCCCTTTGATTGTGCACTTAGATTTAACCGGTAGTAACCATTAATTCTCTATTTTCATTTTGTTTGTATGTTGATTGCAAAATTTTGGCTAAGGCTTTTCTGTAGTATCATTATCAGTAACAAATATTTTCACTGGCTTTTTCATCAACTTTTTTTTTTAATTTCAACATGATAAAAGTTCAAAAGTCATCATTTTTAATCTCAAGAAGTATATGGCTGAAAGTTAAGTATTTTCTTTCAAGTCAATTCCTAAACTAAGATGGTTTATGTTTGAGACCTGTTAAGATTTATTTCAACATGATAAAAGTTCAAAAGATATCATTTTTAATCTCAAAAAGTACATGGCTGAAAGTCAAATATTTCTTTCAACTTAAGTCCTAAACTAAAATTGTTCATGTTTGAGAACTGCTAAGATTTTCTAGACCATTTTGTATGAACTTTGAAATAAACCCTAGAAACCCATAGCTTTTTCACATTTTGGTATGTTCATTAGAGATTTAGGGTAAAACAACTAATGATTTTTCTCTTTTTATGGTTATTTATCCATATTTTATACAGTTGACAGATGCTGCTTATTCACTTTTAAACCTAACTCAACCTTTAATGGTTACTAGAATTTGAGTTTATTCTTCATGAACAACAATCTAATTTCTTTTCCACCATCTTTTTTGTTCTGTTTTGGGATTGAAGAAGGGTACTTAGTTGATTATTTTCTGGTTTACTTTTGTTCTTTTCTTTTGTGACTAATGGTTTTTGTTATTTAATAAGAATTTTTTCTTGGTAAAGCTGGAGTTTCAGTTTTGTTGATTGAGATGTGTAATGAGCTTGACTGACTACTAACAATATTTTCTAATACATAAAAATAGAAATAACTAAAATTTCTTGAAAATGTAGCCAGTAAAACACAAATCCTATCAGTACTCAAGAAGTCAAATATAACATATAGTTCATGAATTCTGAGAGATAATTTTAAACATCCATGATAACTCTATCCAATGCTGGGTTTAACACTTTTCTAAGCATTATGAAGATTTTTACACACACTTCCATAAGCAAAAGTTTGGAAACTTGTTTAACGTTTTCTTAATTGATTTATTAAATCATAAATTTTCACCAATCATTTCCTATCTTAAAATTTCTAAAGTACTAGGAAGCCTAGCTGATGGAAAAAGGTTAGCATAATAAAACCAAATAGTAGCAACTTTTAACATTTACCAATAAATAAAAAAGAAACATTCACTATGCATTTCAATACCTTTGCTTTAGACAAGCTGTTATAATTGACAATCACACCATAGTATAGTTGTTTGAAGCCTAAGATAGAAAAGGTAAATTGTAGCAATAATGAAATAAAAGTAGTGAAGAAGGTATTTATTATAAAAATTATGACCACTTTAAAACTTGTATAAAAAGAAAAACTTGAAGCGAAGAGGGGGGTTAAGTCACTAATAAAGAAAGAGTATTCCTAGAAAAGTTAGTATTAGGCAACATTGAGAAAAATGCATTGGCTCTCTTATATTTTGTTAAGAATAACTATTATTTTCTGTTGTAAAACCAGATTTTCTAATTACACGTGGCATCCTAACCTTGACGCTATATTCAAGTTGCGTAGAAATATTTGGTTTTTAATAAATAAGGTTTGTAACTTTAGTTGCACATAATGTTGATCTTATCTCTCTTTTTTTTCTCCTTGTAAAAACATTTCTGCAAGAATTTAGAAACATCTATATCTTAGTGGTTTGTAAACATTAAACATAATAAAAAGAACTTTAGACCATGAAAGTTTCTACACACATTCAAGAAAGCTCACTAAAAACAACTTAGACCCACCCTTACAAGCATCTTGTCTTATGTTGGAAACTTGTAAATTTTCCATTACCAACCATTGTTCCAATCAAAATCAAACACTAAAGTGAGGCATAGAAGTAAAATAAGTGAAAAAAAGAGAACAAGGCATACTCAAGCAAAAAAAAAAGAAAAGAAAAGAAAAGGAAAACGACCAAAAACATGGGGAGACTTGGATTATAATCCTATGTAGAGTTTGAATAGACCTTATTGAATGCAGGGAACAAACTTTTGAGCATAAATTAGATGAACATTGAAAAATATCAATTATTTTTAGAAAATCAAAATTGAATCAAAATAAGAGAAACAGTAAAATACCTATCCAAAAATCGATTTTGCTTTAAAATATGCAAAAGAGATAATTTGGACATAAACATATGGTTATAACTTGAAGATCCAAAACACAAACTAAGAAATTTGAAAATCAGTTAGATAATTGACATATTTAAACAATAATGAATGAAAAAAGATGAATCGAGAGATAAGGTTTTCTTGATTATTGAGAAATCTGAAAGAAAATTAAGAAAACTCCACTTGATATGAAGTCTAAACAAGAAATCTAAAAGAAATGTTGATGAAGAGAGATGAAAAGTTTGGGAAACAGTGGGGATTTTTTTATGGAGAACAAAGGGGTTTACTACATCAATAAAGAGTGAAGAATATTTGGAGAGTAGAAAAATTTTCAAATATTTGATAACTTAAATTTAAGGGTAAAATAAGAAATTTATTATTTAAAAATTATGATAAATTATTTTATCCTACGGATTGAAACAATCCCTTACTTTTTTGAAGCATAGAGTTATCTTGTTGGTATATGATATATATTCTTTTCAATAATCTAATCATTTTATTCAAGTGCATAATGTGATAGGATGATTAGTATCTTATCCTTCAACTAATGCTATATGCCAAATGTAACCTTAATCTTTAGTAGAAGATAGAAATGTAAGTGTAGAAAAATGGTTGGGAGTTGGGACTTAAGGTTTTTAGATTTGGGGTGGATATTGGAGATTTCATATTCCATATTGGGGGTCTGGTTATGGTTTTATGGTTTGGTTCTTATAGTTAATGATGAAATTACAAATATGTTATTAGATAAAAACCTATTAAAAGAAATTGGTTAAATTCGGTCGGTTTGATTATCAATTTTAAAAGTAGATAATCGATTGATTTAACCTATTTAATTGATAAAAAAAATTGAATAAATTGAATCTGACTAAACTAAACCGAATTAACCAAATTCAATCGGTTTTGATTGATTAAATTGGTTCAAACCAATTTTTTTCACCTCAAATGGACTAGCTTAAAGTTCAATTTTATGTTTGGATGGAATATTTAGAAGAGAGATTTCGTTTCAATTTTTAGAGGAGAGATTTCATTTTAATTAAAGTTTTCAAAATTAAAAAATAAATTTACTTGTTTAAAAAAAAGAAGAAGAAATTTTGAAATTTAAATGAAATTTCAACAAAGAATTCAAATTCTCTCTTGAAATTTCACCTAAAGAGGTGGTTTTTCAAAATTTCTCCAAATCCTCCATCTCTTCATTACACATGACCTATCATAAAATATAAAAATAAAAAATATATATAATATAATTTTATTTAATTTTATATTATTTTATATATTTTTGCAAATCTAGTGATATCCATACATCTTTGATTTATACATATATGTTTTTTTATCTTTAATCTCATTATTCTTTTGTTATAATTATTTTTATTTCATCGAATTCTAGAAAACTAAATTTTTAAAAATTATTTATTACAACCAAATAATTACAAATGTTATCATTTTAAAATGATACATTTAAAAATATTTTCATTTTAAAAATTTTTAAGATTTTAAAATGCTTCATTTCCAATCGCACTAATGCACTTAGAACAAATCCTTCAGACGCAAAAGTAATTTCAAAAGATCCTGATAAAATGGTACGTTACACATTATTAGCAAAGCCTGATCCATTCTAATAAATTAATATTCTCATAAAGGTCAGCTCTTAAGGCAAGTTCCAATCCGAACCTCACTGCTCCTGACAAACTACAGGTAAGGCAGAGATGATCAATTGTTTTCGCTGCTTGTGACAGAAGACACGTTTGTCATTGGCAGAGATATTTCTTCTAGCAAGGCACTCTAAACTTACGAGGAAATGCCAACCAAAGGAAAAACATACATACAAAAGATGTCTTTCAGAAAACAAAAATGAATGCCACAAAGTTCACGTATGATATACACATGACCCATAAATGAAGAGTACATCCCAAAACCATGTATCCATTTCTAATTATAATGTGTGAAGTATAAGTTTATTCTGGATTTTCTGGATTAAGTTGCCTAATTATTGTAACTAGCTTGGATCAACTGACTCGCCTAACTACTTACAAACTTTTTTTTTATATATACACAGTGAAGCAGAGCATCATCGGAGGAGGTATAAGAATCAAACCCAGTTCTTTGGAAGAGAAAAATCATGAAATCTAAAGGAGACCTCCCCAGCAGTGTCTCGCTGTAGTCTGCGATCCGGCTGCTCACTTGTGTCTATGCTCTGATCATTTGGCTCTTCAGGTGGCAGAGGCAGTGTTTGATTGTCATTAGGTTGGTGGGCTAATCTAACTTCAGATGGCAATGGTAACAATGATGGAGAAGGAGCCCCAAGCCTTGCGTTGCCAAAGCTTCGGGAAACCAATGACTGATCCCACAACAACACATGCATAAGAATTGGCACGTTGGCATGCCGGTGTAGTGAGAGCTTCTGACTTAGGGAAACAGTATCAAAGCATCGAACAGCTCCTGTTGAAGAAATCATCCATGGAAGAACCTTCTGATTTGATAATCTTGAGACAACCAGCAGCCTAGATGCACTCACTGATTCTTTGTAGAGAGTGCTGAGTCCTGATCTCGTCGAAGGTGGATTTTCATCACCATCAATAACAGATGATATATAGATGAATCCCTGTTATTACAGAGAAAACAATAAGCAAATACAGCAACAAATTTCTTCATACTATCCTTTAACTATGGGATGCAGAATATGCAGACCTCCCCTCATATAACCTCTTCAAGGTTATTTTCATTCTAACTGTGTTTTTATTTTCATAAAGCTAACTCCTGACAGTATATACTTTTTATTATGTGCCTTTATAACTTCAGATAATTGTGATCATAGTTGAAATTTTACTAGCATTAGTATTTTCATTATTTAGTAACATGAAATTCATCTTTTAAGCAAAATTAGCTCCTAGTATTACAAGAAAAAATGATGACGATATCCAAGCCTAAAAACTATGAACAGATATCACGTCTTCGTTTGGATCAAAATCATGACCAGTCAGATTTTCTTTCTTTCTTATTTCTTTTGCTAAACTATCGATCAAATTACTTTCTCATCCCCCCCCCCCCTTTTTTTTCTTTTAAAGTTGTGTATAAAGATTTTATATACGACAAAAATATGTTTTTAATTTTTTTTTGCATCCCCTTCAAATGAATCCTAGTTTCACCCTAGAATAGAGTCACAATGATGGAGAATCAGATAGTGGACCTCTTCCGTGCGGCTAATGGCAAAACCAAGCTTTGTGTCATCTTCTTTTAGTTTGATCTCAATAGCAATTTCTCCAGCAAGCGGAGCATACCATAGACGAACTGCTCGAACAACTCCAATGTCAACCCCATGGTAGTCCTCGAAACCATATAGGCTTGCGTTGGCTAGGTTCGATAAATCAGATAATGACCCAGCATTTACGGTAGCTGAGGCTGTCTCTCCAGAAATCTGCTCAAACAATTAAAGAAGATAAATTAGTTCCAATAATCAGATGAACATGAATCATCTTTGCCTAAATGGTCAACTAGAGAGCGTGGTATCCTTAGAATTCAGATCAGAGAATTGCCTTGAACCCTAGCTCCTTAATATCCTACATCATGTGACGGAAGGTAAAGCAGAGAGAAGAGTGCTTAAGGATACTTAAATTCAGTAAGAAGATTCAATTAACAGCTATAATTCTTTAAACATTGTTCCATGCAGCATATGTAAACATATTTAGCTACTAATTCATCATGTTCCATTTTTTTTTTTGTTTTTTAACCATATGTATCATGTTGTTAGAACAGTACAGTAAATATTAAAAGGCATGCCGTGGGTGTAAAATTATCATATGTTAATATCAGTGGAGAACAACTCCCTAATACTTCAATTGAAGATCTTGACTCACTACAGCTTGTAGTTTAAAAGCTTTTGAGGCTAGGGACTGCACCTTAGTAAGCAGGGATTCACTTTGGATATTCATGAAAACAATGGGGACTCCAGAGGCCTGAGATGCACTAAGCCAAGCATTTGCTCGAGCAAGGGTATCCTCCAAGTCATTGTATCGAGAGGCCACTCGATCTGAAGCTTTTGGAAGGAGGAGAATAGAAAGAAAACAGCTTGAGTTTGGAACTGATAGCACCTCCTGCATCCTCCTCTCCCACGGATATGAGACATATCCATCCTGAAGCTTTGTCCTTGATAGTTCACTGACCATCCTGGAGTTCCTTGAAGCTGCGAAGTAATTATTTAACATTGCATCAGAAATTAGAAAGACTGAAAGAAGAAGATTCAAACTTTTATTTTCGACGAGTTATGGTTCTGTGCAGAACATTGATCGGTACTTCTAGAGATTTTCTATGCCATGACTAAAGAATACGGTTGCAAAAAGGTGTGAAAAAGAAAGGACCATCAACACTCTATGCATCTACTTAATCCGACTATTCCGTTATTCAATTCAAAAGTACAAAACCAGCAACCCATTTTACTGGATAAGATGAGAACAGTGACCTTGAAGTGGCGTTAAGCAAGGACCATGTATGTTTATTTAAAACTTATCAAAATATGAAGCATACTTTGTAGGTAAGATCCATATTAGTATAGTAGGATTTCAAAAATCTTTCTACCATTGATGTCAGTAGAGATAAGAAATAGTAAAAAATTCACTAATAAAGGGGATTAAGATGTAGGCTGTCCTTAACAATTGTAGGATATTTAAATAGCCAGATGTTTTGAACTTTAGCATTCTGTATACCACTCTAACGAATAAGGACAATGCATTAAACCCAGTCATGGAATGGGGCAAATAAATAAACAAAACGTGTGATGAAATGTGAGAAGGAGAGAAAATTTTCTTAAGAAATATCACTGATCATACTGGTATCCACTAAACCATAATAGTTTGCATCAGGAGAAAGCACCCTCTGAGAGGGAAAAGGCAAAGGTGCTCTTCCATGATACAACCTGTAGTTGAGACCCAGTGAAACTAAGAAATTAGAAGCCCAATTATGTAAGGCCGTTAGCATCTATTTTGGTTCTTTTTTCTGTTACAGCTTTTATTTTGTCATTAGAGTCGGTTATCTTGGATCCTGTATGAATTCGAAATTCCTTGAAGGGAGGCAATACATATGCTGAGGCACTGATTGTAATGGATATCCAAGAATTTACGCATATAACAATTCTCTCTCTTATTTTCTCCTCCTTTTTCTCTATTCTTGACTGTCTACTCTTCTCTAAATTCGGTTACAACAAATTGGTATCAGAGCATCGTTCCTAGCTTAAATGGCAGAAGGCATCACTACCACAATCCAGAAAGAGGTAACTCAGTTGCAGGCTGACATGCAACAAATGGTTAAAACCATGGATATGAAGTTTAAATATATACAGCCCGAGATGGCTAAGATGAGGTTGGAATTTAAAAAGCTATTTGATCGTTTGCCTGCTCGTTAAAGGAATCAATCTACAGACTAGCAAATCACACCAGCTTCCATCATGCAAATCCTCATCTGTAGGTTCTTCAATGGTGGTAACAACTTCTTACCCTGAGTCTTATAGATTCTTTAAACTTGAGTGTCTTAAGTTTAACAGGGATGACTTTAACAGATGGCTCATGAAGTTAGAACAATATTTTGAAGGGGAAAAGTTCTTGAAGGCTCCAGGGTAAGGGTAGCCATGTTAAGCCTAGAGGGGAAGGCTTTGTATTGGCACCAACACTATTCAAGGGTACAAAGATGTCTTGAAAGTTGAATTGGAATGCTTATATTGTTGAAATGCAAGACAGGTTTATATCTAGGGAATTTAAGGATCCCATGGATGAGTTAGTGGAGTTAAAACAAACTGGGAGTGTTGAGTAGTACCATGTTGATTTCATTAGGGTTCTTAATCTGTTACAATTATATGATAACTATGCTCTAAGCATTTTTGTTAACAATTTTAAACTTGAAAAATTTAAATCCTTATGCTGTTTAAACCCCAAACCTTGAATCAAGCTCTTTACTTAGCACACAAATTGAAACCATCATTCAACCCACCTTTAAAAAACCTTACCAGTATTCAAACCCAACCACTACTCACATGTAACTAATGCTGCTTTTAAAATCAATAGTTTACCACCCTTGCTTCCAACTCTTAAAGCACCACCTAACCATAACCCATTGCCAACCTCAAACAGTAAACCACCTTATCAAGTTCTAAAACCTAACATTGATCTTAATCAACCAAAAACACTTAAACCTAATACAAAAAAATCTCCCAGGCAGAAATGGAGGATAAAGGAAGAAAGGGTTGTGTTAATAGTGTGGAGAAGTATTACCCAACATGGATTCAAATAGTGACGCAATAGTAGTATCGCGGCCACTATTTAGTGGAATTGGCACCCACCGCCACCACTATTCAACCAATATTGGGTGTGAAGAAAATTCACATATTTAGCGGTTCATTGTGGCCGTAAAAAAATGCCATAACGGCTAATAGCAGCAATAGTGAGCCGCAATTGATGCTATTTTCTTTTTTTTTTAAGAAGAAGGAAGGAATCGACTTGGGGTAAGAGTTTATACTCAATAGATGGGTAAGAAGGATAAACTTGCTACTGTGGATCTTGGTGGCAGTGCAATCACTAGTATCCATGCCAAACCGTTTGGAGTTCTGGCTAGGCAACTTTCTATTGCACTTCATAAGGTCCAAGATAATAGGCTTTTATATAAACCTGATGGGGTGCCTGTCAATAAGGAAACCGATTCCAGGATTGAAATGATCTTTAACAAGTTGTTTGGCAAAGTCATGGAAATGAGAAAAACATGGGTGGACTTGCAAACCATATTTCTCTGGGATCAGTTTTGGAAAAGCTCTGGCAGTTGTATGCCTTCGTTAAAATACAGAGGAGAGGCAACTTCTAGAATGGCATCTTGCTAATTTGGAATATGCAAATGCGGGATGTCTTTCTTACTTGTTAGCTACCTACTAGGATTAAGATGATCCTTATGAAATGGGTGGAGACCATTTTTTTCTAGAGGAAATTGGAGATTGATAAAAGCATTATATGATGGATTTTTTTCATCATCAAGCATTAAAATTTCAAATTTTCAATGAAGATTAACAAAGTAAAGCCTTAAACAAAAAAAGAAATCCTAGATTTACAATGACTTAGAAAAAAAAAAAGCTCAATCAAAAATTTTAAAAAAAAATTATTGAAATTAAGTAATAATAAAACACTTAAACTTACCTTTTCCTCCCTGTTTAAGTGTCTATAAATTTGTGTTGTATAAAACTTAGAAAAACTTAGACCAAGATTTTGCTTGAAACTTTAAAATCTCAAAAACCCATCTATGAGCACTCTGTGGGCATGGGTTTTGGGACTATGCTGGTTGGATTGAAGAAGAAATCAGATAAGTCTGCCATGGCTAGTGGATGATTTGCGGGAATGGTAGAAAGCAGGGGTTGAGAAAAAAAATGAAAAAAGTTTGAGTGGAAAAATTTGAAGAATTTTGCATTTTTAATTGAAAGAAATATTTGAGTGTAGTGAGGAGTTTGGTGGGTATTAACTTTGGTCAATGCTTGATCAAACAAAAATTAGGTTTTTTTTTTTTTTATTAAATTTAGGAACAAAATTTTGGGAAGAAATAATTGGTCAAAATTGAAAATTTTGAGAATTAAATTTGATTGAGAAATTTGAGATGAAAGACTTTAATGTAAATTTGAAAGGTATATTATATTATAATTTAGATGAAACAAAATAAAATAATAAATGATTATATATTAATTTGATTTTTTATTTCTATTTTTATTTGGATTTTATTAATGATTTTATTGTTTTAATATTTGTATGTTGTTAATTTTTTAAATGTGAATATTTTTACTATAATATTAAAAAATTGTAAATAACTTTTTTATATAAATAAAATAAGATAAGGTGTCATTAATTACTTTAAAAATCATGAAAAAAAATTTTTTATGAGTATAATTATAATTACTATATTTTATAACAAATTGTGCAAATTTGAAAAAAAATCACGACCATGATAACCATAATGTTCATGATGATATCCATTATATCCACAACCGTGATAAACGTAATGTGATCGAAAACGTGTCCATGGTCACAATTTAAATCCTTGCTCCCCAAAACATAAATGCATGAAATTCCAACTGTACTGGATGTTGATACAAGACTATCGGGAGGAAGAATTAAAAGATAAAATGAATGATGATGGCCACTATATTGCTAATATTAAAATGTTGGTGTTATATGAGACTGAGAACTTTTCTTCTGTGATTTCCCTACATGCCATGTTGGACTCACATAGCTATCAAACTATGATTGCAAAGAGTAATTAACATTTTACTTTATGGCCTTAATTGACTCTAGCAGCACACATAACTTTGTTGATGTGTTTGTTGGTAAGGCCTTAGACATACTAGTTTGGCAAAGTTGTAATTGTCAGTGGTTATAGCTGAGGAAGGAAGTTTGTCCACAATTGGGAAATGTAGAGGAGTTCAGTGGTTGGTATAAGGAGTAAAATTTTCCAATGACTGAGGTGCTACCTTTAAAAAGATGTGACATGGTTTTAGGAGTGTAATGGTTAATAACCTTAGGACCAATAATTTGGGATTTCAATGCATTAACTATGCAATTTATGCATAATTCTAGAAGGTGTTTATTACATGGTATGGAACCAAGGTTAGTCTAAGTTATGGATGAAAAACATGCTTATAAGTTGCCACCCTCTTAGATGATGGGAACAGGGCATCATCTTTGTGCCTATGTACTGACAACTAATGTACAAGCACAGTTGTCTATTGCTAGTCCACAGGAGAGTGAGAGCTCTGACATCATGATGGAATTAGAAAAGTTGATGCAAGAGTATCAATCCTTATTTGACATACCTAAGGACTACCTCTTAGTAGGTTTCATGACCATAGAATTCCCTTGAAATGAAATAGAAAGGATGGTGAAAGAAATGTTGGATTGTGGTATTATTAGAAATAGCAATAGCTCATTTGCCTCCCCTATAGTGATGGTGAAGAAAAAAGACGGTTCATAGAAATTGTATGTGGATTATAGACAGCTTAGTCAGCTCACTATCAAAGACAAGTTATTTATTCCCTTAGTGGGTAAGTTATTGGATGAACTGGTGCAAGCTAACTATTTCTCTAAGCTGGATTTAAGATCTGGCTATCATCAAATCAGAATGCATGAAGGAGATATTCATAAGATAGCTTTTAGAACACATGAAAGG